TGTCACATTGGCCTATTCCACGCACCTTTCCCCCCCAAGCCTCAGGTGTGACAGTCTCTCCCTGGCCTGCTCCCCCCTCCCCCTCTCTTCACCTGTGTCCCATTGGAGGTTCCAGTTCCGCCCCACCCCTTTTCCTGGGCTCAAAACCCCCCCTGGAGGACACCTTTGATCTCTTTTTTTCTTCTGTACACCACCAGACACCTCAGCCTGTTACCCCCCTGAGGCGTCACCTGGATCCCAAGTGGCTCCTTATAATAAATAGGATTTGAGTCCCGAAGAGAAGAGCGCTTCCCATCTTTTATCTTTGTCCATGTAGGATTCCTCCCCCATGCTCAGAGAGAACCAGGGGATTCCTACATCTTATTATGTTCCTGTTCACCAAATCTTCCCTTTGACTCCCAATGAAAGAACTAGTACAGTTAAGCAGAGGACATGGAATCAAAAGTCGGGATTTTCACCATGACACATGTTCATAAAAGATTTTTATTGATATTCATGCCAAATGTTTCAGTCTGTATGAAATCACGGGAGAAGAATCCTATGCAAAAGTGCAGAAGAGGAGTCTTTTGCATCAAAAGGAAATCTACAAAAGGCATGTCAAATATGAGTCTACAAGCTGGGAAAAAAAAGCATGATGGAAACAAGCAATATAGAAAATTAAAACTGAAGTTTTAGGAGCAAGGGATGGCTGTAAGTCTGCAAAAAAGAAATTTCAGGATGAGGAGAATACCTACTGGCCATCATATATGAGTGAAAAAGAGGAAGAAGACTGCAGGAGCAAACCAGATTTCATGGGAGTACTGTGACTGTGAAGAATGGTTATCACTGGGGGAATCTGTGTACAGATAATTGTTTCAGGAAGAGTTACACTGTGTTACAGTACTCATTGCACAGACTGAATTACTGCTGCAATGCAGCATTGTGTTCTTTGGCGGAAATAGGAATACACACCATAACCTTTTTGCCTAGTCAAGCCCATCTCTATCTATAAACTAAAGCAACCATAATGCTGCTCTTCAACATGAACTACATGATCTAGCATTTTTCCCTACGTGGTTTAATACAGCCTGTCAGTATGATATAGATTTAATAGGTGCTTAACTCAATTGCAGTTAAGGATAATTATTTTCTATACAATTATACTTGTATTAGCATGTCTCAGAAAATATCATTGAAGAATGTAAAGAAATCTGTTAGACATTCATGATTGTAAAAGAATAAGAGCTCTGTGGGCTATGGGATACTTAAACACATTAGAAAAAAGTTTTTATTCTGGTGTCTACAACAGAACCATTCATACTATAGCTAAACTATTTAAAAATGCAAGACTAAATTGACACCTGCTAAAGATACATGTCGTTATACAGTCTTCAGTGACACTGCATCTGTTTCATATTGCTGGGAAATTTGTTCTCCATTCGTATAAAATTTTGTTCATGGCTTTATCATATAACAAAACCCTGCACAGACTCAAACACAAAAAAAATCTGGTCCAGATTAGTCTCCTTAAATTTTAGTTACAGGACAATTCTTCCTACTATTATAGAACAAACACAATAAATTGACAAAAAAAAGTGAAGTTTCTTTCTCGGGATTGTTCATTATCAATAGACTTGATCTTAACAGTTTGTATGACTACTGACAAATCCCTGGCCAAACAGAAATATCTAGAGACAGAATGTTACAACCTAGAGCTCTTAAATGTCAGTTTTTCTTTTCACTGTACATAATCTCTAAAGAATTAATTTGCCTTACTGTAGTTTCTCACTTCTGTACAGGTTTTTCAGTATTTTCTTCTCACAAATCATCCTTGCTGAAATACTTCAGACTAACGAGATGAGCTAACTGTAACCTCCTATTCAAATGGAGAAAATATATTACTTAATCAGGAGTCTTTATTATATGTACTTCATTGAAAGAACAAATTCCGTAGTTACCACTCCTACTCTACCCCTGGTCGGTCAAACTTAAAAGGTGCAACTACTGGCAACTTGAAACAAAATCTCCATATTTTAAGCTTACCATATATAACACAAGAGACCCATGATTTTATTGTACAATTTTATCACACTTCTCAGAAGTGACAGGTTGTAAAAGTACATTTAATATTTCAATAAAGTATCAAAGTTACTTAAGTTGCAAAATCAATTACTGAAAATTAGATATTACCTGATACGCAGTTGTCTCGAGACCCTAATTCTCTAACCTCTGTGCTTTAAAATGGATCAATAAGTAAATCAAGTTGTCCTTGAGAAGAATTTATGTGATTACATCTTCCTCTTTTTTATATACAAGCAAAAAGCCAAACTGAACACATGGGTTAGTGGAAATCATACTTCTCATCGCACCTGATTATTTGATTTCATTACATGAATCATGCTTTCAAGTTATGTTACAAGAAATGTCTATGTCTTTAGAAAGAAAATTATTAATACCAATTCCCCTAGAGAAAATCAAACACTGTAAATGTCCTATTACATTTGTCCCTTCTCCATTTTGGCTTAAGGAGAGCTGAATTATTAATATTGTAGTACACATTTCTGATACTTGAAATGCAAAACTATCATCTGCCACCAGCAAGAACCTCTCTCCCTAAAGTGGGAAATAGACTACTGGCACCATGCCTCCCATACAAACAAGGAATCCCTGGCCTTAGGAGTGAAGGATAAGAATGCAGAGCTCTGTTTCAGTGTAGGCTTACGGGAAGTTCAGTCCAGTTACTGCCATTGCTTAATGCAACTTTTCTGGCAGTTACCACTGCATTTTCACACCACTTTGTACCGTCTCACCAGGATTTGTGCTTAAAGCTCTTCAGCAGAATAGCATTTGGTTGTCATTTGTCAGTGACACTTTTTTCCCCCTAATTATTTCAACACGCTGCCTGAGTAATGGCAAGCTCACTTTGAATCAATTTTCAAGGACAAATGGAGTTGCTCAAGTGGCCACCTGCTGATATGTCTAAGTTATTCTGCAACTGAGAATTCAGAGATCTCTAAAATCATGTGTAAAAGCTGCTACCATTGTTACGCTGATCTATTAAGATTTGGGACTGAAAACTGTTCTTCCAAAATCAACAAGTATTTTGTCTTTTAATTAAGAACATTAATAATGGAGATGAGTGAAATAGTCAGAAAAAGGGAAGTAGTTGGGAAAACAGGTAAAAATGTCCTTAATATTGTGTACATTTCTGGTACAGCACTCTAGAGAATTTCCAAAATAAAATCTTCCCAGAAAGATTCTACCACAAATACTACAAGTGGTAATTCCATACCACTTGAGCAGTGACTACTCCTTAACAATGTCATCTGAAAAAAAGGAATAGCTGCAATGAGTAGATTGTGTTTCTGAGTAAGTTGTGATTTTTCTTTTCTGATTAATTCAGCATTTTAAAAAACTTGTGCATGAAGGATTTTGCAATATGGAAAAAAGACAACCGTAAGAATGACAAGACATGAAAAGTCAAAAAGAATCAGATTATGCTATAAAACTAGTTTCAAGATGCCTTGGCAGATTCACATACTCATTTTTCTGCACTGGTGACACATCTGAACGGTTTGGTTTTTCATGCACAGATCAAAGCCAATGGAATTTTTTTGTTCTTGAGTCTGAAGTGCAGAGCTGAGCCCAAAGGGAGTGTCCAATATGCACTGCATGCAGGCTGTGAGTCTACGATTATATTAATATGGGGTGTGGGTAAACAAAAAACTTGTATATTAGCCAAAACAAGATTAAGCAATCTTTCCTAAGTATTTTCCACAGTTTCCTTCCTAATGTGATGCTGATAATGGGAAATATACTGCTAAATAAAAAAAAACCTGATTACATTGTCATCGGTTTTTAATCAAATGGCGAGAAAGCTGCCTGCACAATACATCCAGCATACATTTATATGACATCAGATAACAAAATCTTTACTTCATTTGCACTTTTCTTTGTAGGGGGGAAATTGGGTCCATATCCTGTGATATGCCACAGTGACACACAGATGGTAATATACTATTTAAAAATTCTTAGGCTTATCTTAAAAAACAACACTACAGCAGTGAGCTTGTTATGTAGCAGTAGCACACTGAAAATACAATAGTTGATGATAATATGGTCTTTAACAAGTAAAACACAGTGCAATTTACTTAAATAGATGAAATCCAATCATCCCATACCCTCAATTCTCATGCGTGCCAGGTCAGTGTGACTGTGCATTCACATTACAATCATCTTATTTACTTCCACAACAAAAGCAAAGCCTTGCAAAGAAGTTCCTGCTCGCTCTAACAGTAGCAAAATGATAACAAATCCAGGCAATAGGGGCACAGAAAATTAGAAGGATTAATAAGCAAATCAAAGAGAAAAAGAATCACTAGGAGAACACTGCAGGTATGAATCTACCCTGTGGACATGTCGTGGTACACGGCGGGCTACAACCGTCAAAATCCTGCACAGAAAATAAATCCAAGAGGCACAAAGGTTGGGAGAAGGTTCTCATTACCATACCCACCCAAACATGGCTGACACCGGGGCGCAGCAGCCCTCGGCCGCGGGGTGCCCCCGCCTTCGCGGGGCGAGAGCCGCGGGTGGCGCGGCGCTGCGAGGCACCGAGAGCCCCGCCGGGCGCCGCCCACGCTCCGCAGCAACAATGCAGCGCCCGGGCCCGGCCCTCGCCCTGTGGCGCGTCCGCCCGCGGCACATGGTGGGGATGGAGGCCGCGGGCCGCTCCCCGTGGTACCCGGCTCCCTCAGCGGCCGGCTCGCCCTGCTCTCCCCGAGCGCGGGCTCGTCCGTGCGCCGAGCACATCACCGCGGTGCTCCCGGCAGGGAGACAGCCCGCGCCCCGCTCCTCTCGGAACACGCGCTACACATGCATCTGAGATTTTTTTACGCAACACGCGGGAGATGAATGAAATTTCTTTCGCTCGAAAAAAGATATGTTTCTCGCCCTTGCCAACAGCAATAACAATAATAATAACTGCGATTAAAACAGCCCCGTACATCCTTTTAACCTACCGCCGAGTTAAAACACATGGGCGGCTTCTAATCGGCGCTCGCTATTGTTTCCCGAGGGGCCGGCTCTCTCCGCGCCAGCGAGAGGCTGGCACCACGGCCAAAGTCCCGCTTGGGCTAGGGAGACCCCCGACCCACAGGAAGGCGGCCGTCGGGCGGAATGGAACCCCACACTCATCCTGCCCCTTCCCGCCCGGCGACGCGCGCAAGGCGGCCACGCTGCCCCCGCGGCCCCGGCCGCATGGCAGGGCTGGGAAAGCGCGGGCCGCCCCGCGCACCACGCTCAGCTCAGCGCCGTGCCGCGCCGTGCCGTGCCGTGCCTTACCTCCGCCCGCCGGACGCCCGTTGCGAAAAGGGGGGGCCGGGTGCCCCCGCGGGCGAGGATGGCGGGCGAGGATGGCGAGCGGGGCCGTGCGGGCGCGGGGCTCAGCGGCGGGCAGGCGGTAGCAGCCACATGTGCCCAACCCTCACTGCGGCGGCGCTTAAAGACAGGCATAAAAGCGGCGGGGGGAGAGGAAAGGGGAGGGCAGCGCGGGCCGGGGGAGCCGCACCTCCTGACGCAGGGAGGAGCGCCCACCCACCCGCCTGCAGCAGCATCTCTCTGCCGGAGGCGGGCGGGGAGGAGGCAGATGCGGCAGCGAAAGGACAAGGAGGCCGCCGTGCCAAAATCCCCGCGGTCACGCTTAGGCAGCGCGGGTGCCTCATTTCTATCCTCATCTTCACCCCCTGCCGCCTCTGTGCCCAGACTCGTGACGGTGCCCAGGTGCCGGGTGCCGTCATGCGGGCTGCGAGCGGCCCGCCCTGGCCTTCCTGCTGCTGGGGTAGCGGCACACGGGCGGGGGGGGCGGCCGGGAGGCGGCAAGTAGGCACACGGATGGGAGCTTCCTCGGAGAACACCTAAGTTTTCCAAAATAAGGAGATTACTGGGAATGAGGGGTGTGGGACTCAGGAAGGGAGGTCTGTCGCGGGGCGGCCGCAGCGAGTACAGCACCTGCGTGCTGGAAGCCGGCAGGCGGCTGGGAGCGAGCTTGGGGGCTGAAGGGATGGAGAGACGTGGGAAGAGTGGAAGGCACCGACCACCCCCATGGTGATGGGACACAGGTCTTGTAGCCCTGACTCCTACAGCTGCTTCAGTCGCAGGACGGCGATGTTTGACTTCAACGCTTCCCCGAAAGATTCCGTCATTAAGTGTTCACTGCCATTCGGTCAGTTTTTTCTCTGCTTGCATTTCATTTTAGGGAAAAAAAAATAAAAAGGCAGATCGATCCTGTAATGAACAAAAGAGCCTTCCTGGTTCCCATGGCAATAGTGGGACACTGCTGGCTCTAGCTAAGTACTGATATTGAAATGTTAGTTAGCTAATTGCTCTGTTTTGTGTAAACTACCTGGAGATTACCTAGGACTAAGATGCAAATAGGGGAACCCGTGAAACCATGGGAGCGTGTTTTGGGGGATAAAGACACCCCTAAATGGAGAGCTAAACACAGGAGAGGGAAGAAGGATCGACGTTTGACCTGCCACCATCACCTACGGAAGACTAGACTGGAGTGGACTGTGGGAAGCAGTAAAAAAAGGCAGATTTTCCTAGTATTACCACGAGGAAAGGCGAGGGGTGTGCTGCTGCTCTGGACTTCAGCTACAGACTATGCATGCCTCCTTCCCCTGTGTCTATCTGGGAAAGCTACAACAGCGGGGGCGAGCTCCGTGTCAGTCCCCCTGCCCAGCTGATCTTTTTAATAAAGAGCTGAATTAATAAAGGCATTAGCCCTGTTCATTACAGATCCTGCCTAGCAAGGAAGACTTCAAGTAAAGATGAGGAAGTGAGCTCAAAGGCGTGGCAGGTGGGAGAGGCCCGTTGGCTTTGCTGTGGATAGACATTGAGTGAAGAATGAACTGATTTTAATGCTTGCTGTGTGAACAATTGCAGCAGCTTCAGTCTTAACATACATAACCTTATTACATGTCGTGAATCAAGGAGATATTTTCCTCCAGAGTATGGACGATAGTCTGCCTTGATGATCTGCATTTCCTTCAGCTTTTACTGAGAAACCTGTGATGCAAACTTATTTTCATTTCTGCTTCATTATTAAAAGTAATTCATCAGAGCATTGCGTGTTTCTTGCTATTGGTGCTAGTTGATTTAACTAATAATTTCCACAATGTGTTTCAATTATACAGCCCTTTAGACAATAGATTTTGTACTCACTGAATATTGTTTGGAACTGAGGAAAAATAAACTTGTGTTGAGTAAGTTTCTAACTGTGAATTAAATTTCTTTTGCACTAAGTACTAATAAGAGGAAGAATTTATGCTTTCATTTGCCAGCTCATGAGTGATACTTTATTGATTTCTTGAAGTTGGGATTGAAGGCACTTGAGATGGTATTTTATGTGGACTTAGGTGTTTATTATTTCTTATCTATGTTATAGTCTCACTACTCTGAGTTTGACAGTTTTTTCATTAATAAGGCACAAAATGGTTAACTAACTCTTGTTATGAGGTCTTTTATAACTAAACTATCCAATTAAGAAAGAACACTTAGATTATTTTCCTTTTTAACCTAATAACTGACCCCTTGAAGTCTGCAATACAGACTTTTCTGTCTAATCACAAAACATCACCTAAACCTATGAAGAAGAAGGAAGAAGGTAAAGAAGAGCAATCTGCCTATGCCCTAAAACTTCTATATTGCTTTATATTTATTTCTATATTCTAAAATCCCAAACTCTTACGTTCTCTAATCTGTGATATTACACACTTCTAACCAACTACACACCTTTAATCCCAGTGTTATTAATTAATTTTAAAAGCCTGTTCTACATCGTTAGGTCAAATGCAGTGTTCTCTTGTGGGTCTGTACCTTTAAGCACAGAAAGTTTAAATTTGCCGCATCTAGGATTCCAACAATACTTTTATTTAGTAAATTAACTAGTAATTTTAATCAGATGACTGCATAGTTAATTGAAAGAGGAAGAGGTCATTTCTGGATCCCTTTAAATTCTGTGTACCCTTAATGGTGAGTTTAGATCTGAGGTGGTGCGCTGTACACACACAGACACAGAAAAAGCCTCATTTGCTGGTCTGACTCTCCAAATGTATCTGCTTGTGACTCAGGAGATTTGAGGATAGAGAAAAAAAATCTAAGTGGAAAGCAAGAAATGCCAGCAAGACAAAATCATTATTAGCAAAGCCCAAATGCTGATGCACTGAAGTTCTACACCATCAAACCTTTAAAGAAAAAAATGCAGAAGGAGAGAAAATGACTGGAAGAAAAGTGGTTATGCCAATTTTATTTTTCTGCTAGGTTTTGCTATCTTGTCTCTCACGTAGAGATTTTAAATACCAGGAATTGGAAGAGAACCACAAGGATCATCAAAGTCCAAAGTCCTGGCTTGAACACCTCTCGAGCTCTATCAGGTTTCATGCTGTGACCACTTCCCTGGGGAGCCTGTTCCAGTACCCAGCCATCCATTGGGTGAAGAACCTTTTTGTAATGTCCAGCCTAAACCTCCATGACACAGCTTCAGGCTATTCCCTCAGGTCCTGTCACTGGTCACCACAGAGCAGAGATCAGTGCCTGCCCCTCCTCTTCCCCTCATGAGGAAGTTGTAACTGCAGTGAGGTCTCCCCTCAGTCTCCTCCAGGCTGAACAGACTGAGTGACCTCAGCCACTCCTCAGATGGCTTCCCTGCAAAGCCCTTCACCAACCTCCTGTCTTTGCCTTGGAGTCTCTCAAAGAGCTTCATGTCTTTCCTATACAGTGGTGTCCAAAACTGTCCCCAGCCCTCGAGGTGAGGCCGCCCCAGTGCAGAACAGAGCAGGACAATCCCTTCCTTGCCCAGCTGGCCATGCTGTGCCTGATGCCCCCCAGGGCAGGGCTGACCCTCCTGGCTGCCAGGGCACTGCTGGCTCGTGTTCAACTTGTCATCGACCAGGACCTCCAGGTTTTCTGTGGTGCTGCTTTCCAGTATCTCATTCTGGATGGATTCTCATTCCAGCATGGATTTCCTCACTGCAGTACTGTTTTTGTGTTCTGGAGACACTGAGAAAGGCACCTGATTCTTCCCAGACTTGGGCAAATCGAGTACCTTGCAAGGATTGGCCCAGTTTCTCCATACATCCAAGGCTGCCTCATCCCAGGTACAGAATCTGACACTTGGGCTTTTTGCATGCAAATATCATTAATATTTTCAGCGCCTATAAATGCCACTTTTTTATATGCTGGATAAATGTGGAATTTTTATTGCATTTTACACCTTCTGAATCTGTCACTTTTGTGAATATTTTCTTTGTCTTAATGTTAGCTCAGCACTGAATTTTACCTTAAAATATTGCACTCCAAATATTGTGGATTATAAACTCAGTGATACCAGTAATTACCAGCTATACTAGTTTGTGTAAGAATCAACCATTCCTATTTTTTTCCATATTTTTCAAAAGGTTTCATTATTGAGAAATTCTAAATCACTTATGATCCTTTTCAACATTTTTTTTTTCATTTTATTAAATGTATAACTTCTTTGGTTAAGAACTGTAGCAAATCTATTCAAGAAAACAAAAATATGCTTTGTTTCCAACAGTAGCAGTAAGGTTAATTAAAAAGACAGAGAGTAAAGATGTTTTATATAAGTTGCCTATTATTACTTTATATTATTATTGCCTATTATTTTATGATAATGAATATGTTGAGGAACTTCAGCTGAACAGAACAGAGCCACTGACAAGTCACTGTAACTTCTTATTGCTGCATCATTTTGTCTGCTCTTAGTTCTCTAGGAGATGGCATCTGGTCAAGATTCTGAAGGAGATTTTGCCTTATTGCTCAAGTTACAAATTATCCCTTTGGACATAGCAAGCATATTAAGCATGGATTTCCTGACTGCAGCACCTGTTTTTTGTGTGCTGGAGACACTGAGAAAGGGACCTTATTCTTCCAAGACTGGTGCAAATTGAGTACATTGCACACATTGGGCCAGTACAGAGATTAAAATAGTTCCAGGAACACTGTCAGTTGAGGGTATAACTAGTTAGGGTTTGAGATATATGTTTGAAGTTTAATTTTCACTAACTTGAACGTTTAGATGTAATTAATGGAATGGCATAGTGACCATAATGTCTTTAGCAGAATAAATTTTAAAAGTGCCTTATTTTACTCAAAGAAAGAATTAGCATTAAAAATATTTAGATAGATACAAAGTATCCTGTAAAGTGTAAGTGTAGCCATAAACTTATGAATTTTGGTTTTGAAAGTAGTACAGAACCTACTGCTTACTAAGGAATGCTTCCATGTGTTTTGTTCATCTATGTA